TATATATATATATATATGCATTATGCTCAGCTGTATCGACATTTGGCTGCTGCGGAATGCCGTTTGCCCCAACTGCAAAGCTCCCATCTGCGCTTCCCCCATCAGTGGCTGCTGCGGGCCAGAAGGGGGAGAAGCGGAGAGCGGCACTGAGAGCTGCACAACAGGCGCATCGTCAAGGTCTCAGTCTACTGCAGCGGGTAGGCATGAACAAGTTAGTCATTCTCATTCTTTCTTTTCCAACGTTCAAACCGTCAATATTCTTTCTGTTTTGATAGACAGATCAGTTCCTATTTCCATTAACTAAGGGGACTGATATTGCAAACACACTGCATATTGATGTTGGTCTTCCATTTCCAGTCCTTGCTAGATTGTCAATCCTTGCTAGAAGCGTGGGTGTGTAAATATGCTTACATGGGTTGGCTGGTTTTGTTATTACGTGATTTCTATGTGCATGTGACGAATAGGTTGCATATTTTACTTACATGTGTATGCATGCGTACTAGAAAGTGGGGGATCTCGATGGAAGCGAATGCATGATGGCATTTGCTGTACTCTGATTTTTGCTGTGTATGTGTGTCTGTTCTGTTTGGTTTTCGTTGCCTTTGTGTTGTGACATACGGTACTTCTAGTTACTTTTTCTTCTCTGCGTTCTGCATTTGCGGGAATCTGCAGGGGATGCTCCAGGCTCGCAGCAGGTCTGACTAACCTTTGGCTGTCATATCTGCGTGCATCCAGCTCAGCGTGTCTGCATGCATCCGAAGATGCGTGTTTTCATGCATGCATGTACGAGCATGTCTACACAGAGGAGCTCTCTTTACATACGTCGAGTCACCAGCGTTATTTCCTCTCAGCTTCCTTCGAGGGACACAGGAATTGAAGCATTTTGAAGGAGGGGCGGACTAGTTTTGCTGGGAGCTACTTTGCCAACAGCTTCCCAATGAATTTCAAGTTGATGCGCATTTCCTCATTCTCTTGCGCTCTCGCCTGTGGAGGTGACGGTGCGCCAAGGCTTCAGAGAGGAACAGAGGAGGGGGGGGGGGATTAGTTGCTTTGAGATGTAGGCATTTGCAAATGTTGGACGCGTACTTGCAGAAAGGGGTATACAAATATGTATTCTTATATGCGCGTATGCGGATTTATATAAATATTATATATAACATATTTGTACATTATACACGAACAGTATGAATGCAGGTGCATGTTCGTATGCCGGTTCGGGCGTTTGCTTGTTTCCCGCACACGGCATCCGCCCTTCCTTCTTGGCTCGCTTTAGCAAAACGACGGGGTGCAGGGACTGGCTATAGTTCCCTTCAATGAACGACTCAACAATAGTATTCGTAATAGTTATTTTATTATTATTGGTTTCTCTGGACTGCTCTTTGGGAGACTGAATTTTGTTGCAGCGCCAACGGAACGTTTACAAACCTGACCGTCTAAGCACACGAGGTGTGTTGCGCTTCCGTAGGAAATCTATTGGACCGTGCATTTTGTGCACTCGACATTCTGCAGGCACCAGTTTGTAGTTCAATTTTTGAATGTACTATTAGGAACTGTAGTTGTCGCATCTGCAATAGCTGAGGAGTGTGTTGAAGTGGTTTGCCGCAACTTCAACACTTCTTTCTGATTAGGGTGTTAGACGTCTGAAGTGTATAAGTTTTAATTTCCCGCGTTCCAACAGCGCATAGCAGCTAGAAGCTCACTGTGTGGGTGGGGGAATGAGGTGACCCGTGAGGTTCGGCTGGTAGACAGAAGCAGAATGGACGCTTGAAAGGATTTTGATCATGCAGCCTTCTTAATATTAATAAAATTGCGATTTGAATTGGATACACTCGCGCCTCTCGAATTTAATACACTGCTGGTTTCACCGCGTCGCAAGGCTCGAGTGTGCGGGTCGATAGCCTGTAGCGGCGAACAAGTGGACGGTTGGGGATTGGGACACTAAGGAGGAGCTGCTAGGTCAGTTATTTAGTTCACAAGTTTTTGTCTGTACACTAGTTATTTGATGTATACATTTAAGGGGGGAGGAAAGAAGGGCGTGCGTTGAGCGGCTTCACGAGCTCGGAGGACGGCGGGCCTTGAGGCACGGTGTATAGAGCTGTTGGTTTTTGCCCCTTTTCTCGGATATGTGCATCATTAACTTTTGACGAACGGAAATATAAGAATGAAAAATGGGCTTCTACCGAAAGAACGACGGATGAAGGGAGCGCTTTCGCTGCAGCCGCCGATGCCGCCAGATCAGGCAAGCCGCGGACGATTCGGTCGGCGGCGGCTAGCAAGCGGTCGCGGCAGTTGGCGTTTCGCTGGTGCCCCATTAATGAGAATACTTGTGGAAATTAAAAGCCAAAAAGCCCCCTATTTACTCATTAGATGAAATTGGTTTGTGTTGTAGTCTCAGTTGTGGCGTATTGCGGCATCTGCTTCACCCCGGCGGCCTCCTAGCCTCTCACAGCCAGCATCGACTGCAGCGTCGCGCTGCTTCCTCCCGCCTCGTTGGACCCAACCACCCTTTTACTTCTTTCTTTCTTCGTTTTCATCTTTCTTTATAGCAGTTGCACAGCCAGAAAAACACCACTTTGCGTCAACAAAGGCAGTTAGTAGTAACGGCAACGATGCAGGTGCCTAACCACCTCACTGCCAAAGGCAGTGCTGATTCTTTTTCCCCTTCCCCTGCACCTGAAACCAAACTCGTGGGTTCCCGAGTGGCTGCCCCGGGTGAAGTTCCCGCTCGCCGTCTGCGTCTTTCGGAGGTGGACGAGGCGCACAGGGCTCGCAGCCCATCTCGGCGGCCAGGCTATTGTGTAGACGAGCTGTGTACTTGCGGCCAGCACAAATGCATTCCTTCAAGGCCTTCTGTGCCATTTGAGGGGAACTCGGTATACAGACAGGAATACGGACCCAAACCCCTACCGACCCCGTACGCACACTGCCAGCTCCGTTGCAACTTGTAGCGAACCGAGTTTCATCAACAACATGCACTTGAGCTATGAATTCACTTTTTCACTCTGACCAATAGTGATGTTCCCCTTTTCGCCACTGTATCGTTATACCACTGTTCTTGTCTGCTTTTTGAGGATTCCCCATTGCTTTTACTGTATGTTGTTGCTTGTTTGGTGCTGTATGTGCTCTGGTCACCTTCCTTGCTTCTTTGTTGTTGCTTGCTTGCTGCCTTTATTGTCTCTATTTTCTCTTTCTTCGTTTGCTTGTTCTTCTGAAAGGCTGCAGCAGGCACCGGTGACGCTGCCTCCTTCTTTGCCTTTTGAGGGCGAGAGCAGCTACAGGACTGAGTATGGACCCAAGCCACTGCCGCCTCCCCCAAAAGCCTCCACTGTGACGGTGCCCGCTTCGCTTCCTTTCGAAGCGACAACAGCGTATCGCACAGATTATGGCCCGAAACCCTTACCCCCGCCCACAAAGCCAGCAGAAATCCACCTGCAGCCCTCTCTGCCATTCGAGGCCAGTTCGTCTTACAGGTATACCAACGAAACCGGCGCCATGCATGATGTAATGGGAAGGAGAATAGAGGGATTGGAAGATGCATAGCTGACAACCTGACATAGTATATGAGGCCCAGGATGCGCTGCTTCTCTGTCGCAAGCATGCACACACTTGCGTTTTTCTTGCAGTTCTTGTGCACTGACCTTTTTTTCTTTTTGGCGCTTTGCTTTCCTGATCAGGTCGGACTACTGCGCGAAGCCCCTACCTGAGCGGATGCCTGTTACTGCAGCACCAACTCCTGTGTCTCTGCCTTTTAGAGGAACCAGCGCTTACAGAGAAGAATTTGGCCCCAAGCCACTGCCACCGCCACTAGCCCCTCAGAAGGTGGAGGTGCCTCAGTCTCTTCCTTTTGAAGGCGAAAGCGTCTACCGCTCTGAGTTCAACCGCAAAGAAAACCCCGTTTGCCAGGTGGCGCGCCTCCCCCCTTACCCCCAACCCGAGTACCCCAACAATCACGTCTTCTGGGACAAGGAAGAAAAGACCTGGTACTGACAGCCGGTTTGTATAACAAACATATACACAAAGCCACTCGTGTACATGAGTGCCACAGACAGACACACTCCCTTCACCTCCGCCCGTCCTTCTCCTTCACTTCATCCGCTCTTTCCTTTCGACGAGCAGAAATTTATAAAATGCAGCATCTGCATATGCATACGGCTACTATTGTACTGTGCTAAGTACAATGTATGTTATATATATTGTACCTACTATGTGCTGTCTTTCGCGCATTCCCTCGGGAGTGGCAAGCCATGCAACAGCAGTAGCTGCAGCAGAAACGCAGGATCTGTGGCGGCGGGCAGCAGCAGTAGCAATACGTTGCATCAGCAGGTGCTTAAGCGCATAAGGGTGCTGTTAGTCTCGGATGATGGGCATTCACAGCTTTGTTTGCCTTATTCCGGGCCCAGTGGAGGCCTCCTTGTTTTAGTGCTACAGCCTGGCACGCCAGCTAACTAGCTAGCCGTTTAGCTAGCAGTGGGCTAGCTCCCTGAGCTCCAAGCAACTGCTAACCTTATTTAATGCGCTAGGGTATATCGCTCACAAAACTGCCCCGCTGAAGAGTAAAATGTAAAATGAAAAGAGCAGATACGCAAAACATTTTCAATGTATACTTGCGTACAGGTGCTTTGTCGCTGTTGGTCGTTGAGTTTCTTGCAAAGCATGCCTATAGATATTCTGCTTAAAAGACAGTGGAATATACGTGCATCCGATGTGTAACTATACTCTAATCCTCCAGGCAAACGCAGGAACGACGTCCCGTAGTTGCACTAATTGAGTGACCAACAACAGGAACTGGTGTTGCTGTTTCGCTGGTTCACTTGGAGGATAGAAATGTCTCCCCTCTAGAACCGTTAGCTGGAGGCTTTTTACAAGCATGGGCCTGAGAGTGTTGGGCCGACTACTGAGTTTGCTGTACTACAGTTCCTGCTCCAGCTGCATGCCTCCCTGTCCCAGTAAGGCTGCTTCCTCTTTCTGTGGCAGCTCTAAGAGGCTCAGAAGAGGAATCCGTAGGAGTTGTTGCAGGAGAAGGGCTGGGGGTGTTCGCTAGACTTTTCCAACACCTGAGATTATAGTTAGCGTGTCCGATGATGCCGTCCATCAAAGACAGTCCTGTGCAGGTAGGCTCCACAAGAGAACTTGCACTACACAGGGCTTGCTGCTGCTGCTGTTGGGATAGTTGCTGTTCCAAGCATGATCTTATTTCCACTACTAAGGGTAGCACGATGTACTCTAAAAAGCCGCATTGCGCTGCCGGCATTTCGGCTGCCTTGCGGCGGTCACAGAGCGGAGAAATCACCAAACCCAACTGTTCCTCCACGTCTCCCTGTAAACAAAGGATGCAATGTTTGTGCACGTTTGCGTTTTTCATGTGTTGTGAGCCTTCCAGTTTGTGTGTCGTGTGTTGACCTCGATAGACATACATGCAGTCATTGGACGTATTTACTCTGTGCGTTTTGCTTCATTCGTTGGGTTAATGCTTTCACTCTTGTGGTAATTTTACACTTATATTAGTGGACTGCTAAGTCCTGTGTGCTAGTGGTTTTAGGCTTTTGTATCTTCTTTTCCACTTTCCATGTGCATGCTATCTCCTTAGATGCCTTTATTCGTCGTGAGGTTTCTGTTTGCTGTTCCAGGTGCTCGCCATTCTTTGAAGTGGGATTACCCTCTTGTCGCTTGGGACAACAATTCGTTTTGCTCAAGTGTCTTATATATTTTCATTGGCAGCTGAGGCAGCTAATTTCTATGCTAAAGAAAAACTCCTATCTTCCCTGGAAATGCCGCCTTTCAGCAGTGGGAAGCGGCGGAGGCAACGAGAGTCACTCCAGCCGCTTCCGGGCGACGGAGTTACTCCGAGGCGCATACACCTTGGAGAGGCATTACCAATGTTGTTTCGTGTCACACTGTGTACTTACTTGTGTGTAGAACTCCTCGTTAACGCGGCATGCCCAGATGTAATGCTGCTCCCAGGCCAAGGTGGAGTGGCCTATATCTCCTGCTTTGATGAAAAGTTTGGCTAACATCCATTTGTCGTCTTCGTTAGAGGCAACAGAAAAGGTTTGCGAGGCGTTTCGGGCCCTAAAAGAGGACAAAATCGGGAAGTGCTGCGCCATATCTGTCGAAAGAATCAACTCAATCACCTGCCGCCGCAACTGCCGATACCCGGAAACAGACAAGCCCTGAAGTGCAGCACAGATACGAATAGCGTCACCTGTACATACACCGCACCCATTTATTCAAAACACCATCACTACATCATATGCCACAGTTGCCTCTTGGGCGATTCCTGGTTTTAGGTCGTGGTTCTGCTGCACGTCGGCAGCAGCAACAGCTATTTGTGGTTAGTGGAAAAAGCGAAAAAACAACTGACTCAGCTGGTAGAGATGCAATTGCTTCTGTTGCCTTTAGGCCGCGTGGGGGCTGAGACTGTTTTTGACTATTGCTGCTACTTCGTCGTTACCTTAAGGATGCCTCCGTCGATATCGGCGGTGTCGGAGAGGGTTTTAAACGTTTTGTAGGCGTGGAAATTTTCCAAGACTGCGTTGTCGTTGTAGACGAGGGCGAGCGACTGATTTGTAGACACCAGGAATGCGTTGTTTAGGCCAGGATGTGCGACGTCGTGGCCCAGCGCTGCAATGCAAATGACAATTTCGTCCTCTATAACGGCTCTTCGGTGTCCTCCAGTTGCATGCGCCTCCGTTTGAGTACCTAAGCTGCAGCTGGGAAGCAGCAACGTCTCTTCTTGTGACTGGCTGTCGTTGCACGTCTTGCTGCTGGGGAGCCCTGAAGGGGGGAGTGCCCCGTTGTGGTGGGCGTGAGGAGCAGAAGAGCCACCGGCTGCTACAGTTTGCAAGGAAGGGGCGGATGCCAAAAGCAGTTCAGCGGGAGTTCCAAGACGACATGAAAGCGTTGCGTAGAGGTTCGAGCTCCGCGCTAGCAAGACGGAGAAGTGCGCCACAAGAGCCGCATGCATGCGGTTGTGGTAGAGGTTGGGGAGGTATTGCGCCTGAAGGGCCTTGAGGAAGCCACAGATTGCCGCTAATGAACAGCAAAGTCCTGCATGCTGCAAGTGTGGCAGCAGCAGCTGGAGACCAACGAACAGCATGCACTGTCAACACACTCACACCCGCAACCATAAAGGCAAGCAAAACTCGAAAACTCCAACTTGCTAAGCACATGCAACAGCATCTGCTTTTGTTCAACCAACTCCGGTTCATCTGGCATAGGAATCTCTGTGGACGAGTATCCTAATTTCTTTAATTAATGCACGCTGATGGAATAATGGCAAAGAAATACACTTGTCGGACCCATTCTAGTTAAGTGACAACTATGCTTAGATAGCTGATGGCTTTAGGCATGCATTCACAAACGCATTTGCCAATACCTATAATACTGCCTGTACAAATAGTATATACAATATATATATATATATATATATATATATATATA